GTTTTCTTCCTCACTGTCAGAGACTCCTGCAGTACTTGCCGCTGCTGCTTCTGCTACTGCCTTGCCTCTAGACTTCCTCTTCCAATGTGCAGGTCCAGGCTCTTCATCTTGGAGCACTTCCTCTGCTTTAGCGATTGCCGCTGCCTATCGTGCTGCTGCTGCCGCCCTCTTTGCCGCCCTCATAGCTGGCGATCTCTTGCGCTCTTCAGTCTATGGGGCTTGCACCATCAACACCTCCTTTGCTGGCCTCCACTTCTTCACCCCCCACCACCTCGCCACCATGGAGTCCCAACCAATGTCGTATTCGAGCGGGGAGATGGTGAGGAGGTCGCACAACTTGGCATCACACAAGTTGCCTCTGAGCCTCTTAATAACATTCTGCTGACCGAAGCCCCTCTCACACTCCACCATGCTGAGAGGGAGTACTGCCACCGCGATCCACACCAGCACCAAGTTCAGGTATGCCGTCTCCCAGTCGGGAGATGCCAGCATGTTCTTCAAGCCGTCCAAGAACCCAGAGTCCTTCTAATGTGCAGACATAATGGTCGTGAACTGTGTCAGCTCCCTCTCCGCCTTGCTCCAGTTGACCCCTGAGGGCAGTGTGTGACGGAAAGGGAGTTGCAATGAGAGGGAGGGCGAGACCGTTCTGCACTCAAAGGACACGGGTATGCTAAACCGACTAGCATGCCAGATACAATCTTGGGATCAAATCATGCAACAGTGCACGGACTGACTTGCATGGCAGAGTTTTTGAAGCTTGCGGGTCGTGCTTGTAGAGATTCCGCTTTTCGCCCATCCACAGCGGAAAGCACCGTGCCCTCTTCTGAATCGTCTTGGGGTAGGCTCCCTAGTGAAAGAGCTTGGTGCAGTTGAGGTTGCTAAGATCGGCTAGGCGCGAGTCGATGTCGTTCAGCATCTTCAGAATGGGAGTCATTGCTAGGGTCATCAACGACCCCATGTCTCCATCACTCCACTGGCCGTGGATTGGCTTCTCATGCAGCTCGTAGGCATGGATGAGAGGCGTCCCGTCTCCGTCTACGCCCTGGACAGTGATCTGCCAGCTTCGGGTGTCGGTGTACTTAGCGATGAACTCCACGAGAGCAGTGTTTCCGTGTCCGAAGTGTTGACCGTAGTTAACGTAGCACCCCCACAGAGTAAGCTTAGTGTTGTCCACCGTTTGAATCTTGTGCGTTACGTCGATCTGAGGTAGGGTGGGGAGGGGCGGGTGGGAGCAGGTTTTCGGCGACGGACTCCAGCCAATCGCATATGAGTCCAGGAAGTTGCAGGCAGCCGAGCGCAACTACATCGTCTATGTCAAAGAAATGCTTGCCATTGTACACGCGTTCAAAGTGTAGCGCTGCTACCTAACAGGATCCGACGTGACAGTATCTCAAACCACAAATCCCAACAGTATCTCAGCTCGCAGCCAAACCTCAACCCACGACAGATTCGATGGCTGGACTTCCTCAAATCGAACGTCGACTACACGATCACCTACAAACGCGGGGGGAATAATATCGGCAATGCCCTGAGACGTCCGTCCGCCACCTCGCCTCCGTCATCATTGTACAAACCAACCCTCTCCTCACCAGGGCCCCAGATATCAAACGAAATCGGTCTGATGGTCTGAAAATCAAACTCGTTTTTTTAGGTTCATCTAATTTGTCAGACCACCCGTTTTATTTTGTCTAAGCGTTAAGACAGCTGTTTAAAGTTCGTCTGAAAAAATAGACACCGAGTTATATTCCGTATGAGAATTTAGACAACATGTACATTTTTGTTTGAAACTGACAACAGGGTAGGTAGACCTGCAAAAACTCTGATACAGGCACATTGTACCCGGTTGCCCACAACCCTGAAATTTCGGCTAAGTCACTAAACGCCATAGATTCCCCCCCCACACACCCTGCAACCTACAAAAATCGGATGTCCTCTTGTACACACATTCCCCCCACACACTCAAAAAAAAAAGAAAAAAAAAAGGTAAGTCCTACTGTACAGACGTTCCCCCTCCCACACTCCCACAACCCATAAAAATTGGCTCAACGGCATCCCCCATCACCCACGATATTTTTTGCCTCTAGACAGGGGAGAGATGTATCTGTTGAGAATAGTCCTGATCCTGCGAAGGCTGCGGATGTCTTCAAAAGCGGCATATCAACAAAGTCTGTGGATGAAAACACTTCAGAAAGGCCTATCAACGAAGAACAGATTTGTTGACAAGGCGAGGCTCTGCGGAAATACTCGTCGACAGAGAGAAATCCCATCGAAGCAACTTTGTTGCTAATGGCGCAGCTCCTGCGAGAGACGAATTTTCACAAGTGGCCTCTACGACGAAAGCAGTCTTTTGTGGGAGTGATCTGTGCAGATTACAGGGTGCAGAAGACCCTTCTACCGAGGGGCCATTCGTAGATGGACTGTCCTCTGTAGAAATGCTCACGGAATGGGCGACTGCGGGCAAATTAGCGACATAGTTCGAAATTCGGCACGCGCTGTAGAAAGAACCTCAAGCGGAGAGCTGATGTGAATTGCTCCATAAACAAGCAGCAGGATGACAACATCAAGGCCGTCATGGCTGCCTGTTGTGGTTACGACACAACCAATGTCTCTAAATGTCAAACCTGATAACAAGTCTGACTACACCATTGGATTCGGCTTAACCTACTGCTTCAGTAGCTCTTTTTTGAAGGTCCCAGATTCTGACATCGACTCTACTTTGTAGAAGGTTGGCGTTCCCAAGCCTGTGTCAGCATCAGGAGTCAATGGACTTGGCTGCTGTCGACAAGGCTATATTGAACTACAAATCAGCAAAGTACATTATCTCAAGGGCTACACAAGAGCGATCTCCAGGATCAGAAGTCTTATCTGGCAACACAATGAGCTATCGAGGCTTTTTACTCCAAAGTTTAAAGGGCTCAGTCAGGCTTTGGTATCCACCAGTCAAGGGTGGCTTAGGCCTTCTCATCATCGCCCAATGGCACCCAACCTGCGAACACAAGCCAAGGCTGGTCATCGCGGCTCCTATGGTGAGGGAGAAGCCTCCTTGGTTACCCCAAGGAACTCCCCCACTTCATTGTCTTCCATGGGTGACACATTGGTCCTAGAGAAGCCACCAGCATCGGTTGTGAAGGCGGCAGCGGGTTGTGGAGCACACGGACATCGCGATACCTGGTCATTCACATGCTGCAGCTAATGCAAAGAAGAAAGAGGGGGATGATCGGTTTCTCCTGGCCTCCCTTGATCCGGATGATGCTGAATCTGAAGAAGAGGACAAATCGGGTGCAGAGGAAGAAGAGAAATTTCTGTGGGATGACCCGGATGATAAGCTGGATCCGGCGGTAACAGGACAGATTGCTGCTCATCTGAAGTTTGTTATTGTTTTGATAATCCCCGTTAAGCATGATCAGGAGGCTCCCCGTGTCAAGCGCTCGGTCATGATTCAGATGGAAGGGTGGAAACAGGATCTGTCTAGCGTGGCTCTTTCAACCACAGAGTTCCAGATTTTACCGGCAACGTACCTCTCCAAGGAGCGTTATGGTCGGCTACAGGTTTCCTTCGACAAAGCGGTGGATGCTAACTTTGTCTGGTGCCGGTCGGTGGTACACACGTGCTTGGATGGCTCGTCGCTGGAGCTGAACTGGCAGCACCCTCCGAACCTGGCTTTCTTCAAGGTGAAGGCGACATATAAGAAGACGATTGAAGTGCTTCTGTAGGATGTCCCGCGGCTCTCTCTCCGCAGGGAGTGCAGTTCCTCCTGGTGGAAGTGAAGTGGCTGAAACGGAACTGGTCGGCTTTTGCCAGTGGGATGTGCTTTCACCGCATTGTTGATCCTGTGACAGGGATGAACACGGACAAGATTAAGGGTCTGGTCTTCCAGCATCCGAAAGATCGCTATCCCTGGAGGCATTTATTCACAAGTTCGGCGTTTCCAGGCCAGCATCTTCTGGTGCATTTCCCTGCTCTTACATGCAAGCTCTGTAGTGGCGCACACCTGGATAAGCTGCACAATGACTATGTCAAGGAAAGGCAAAAAGACATCAGCAAGTGGAGGTTGAATCTGGGGGATGTGCATGGGATCAACGGTAACTGGCCTGCAATCACTTCTGTCTACAGTACCAGTTGTGGGTTTCCCTGCTTATGCACTAATTGTCGGGTTTTGGATCTTCCGCGCAGCGGCTTCACTTAAGTCCTCAGACTCAGTGAATGCCATTCTCCTAGTCCCGGCTCTGGCGCTAATCTCAGTGGGAGACAATCGAGAAGAGTGGATCTGTGTCCAGGGTTCCTGCGAGAAGGCTTATGGTGGCTCTTTCGATCAGGCGGTCAAGCATATTGGATCCGATCATCCCAAGGCCTCACCGGGAAAGCCGGATGTTGTCACATGCGCTTCAAAGGCATCGTGCAGCCTGGCCTCAATCAAGAAGGAGTTTGCCTTGTGAAGGGTTGGTTGGTGGGGGGTGTTAGCTCCTCTGCTACTGTTACTCACCTGCTAGAGTACTGGTTGGTGCTGTGTTGTCGAGTGGGAGTTGCCGACATCGAGTGTACTGTCGCCCCTCTGTGGGTTGTGTATCTGTCTTGTCAGCTTTACTATGGATGCTTAGGGGCTCAGATGTGGTTATATAATGAGTAAGTAGAACACCCTGTCTATTTGTAGTGTGAACATCAACGGCCTCAACAGCACGTTGAGAACGACACTTCTGCCAGAACAGCACTTCTGGCGGCCTCAACAGCACTTCCTTTGCTTCCTCGGTGAAGGACCAAGGGAGAAACGCGCTGTGTGAGGGAACACGTGGGAAGTGAGCTCAGTGAGGAAAACCGGTGAAAAGGAGATCGACGAGGGAATATGGCAGAAAGGAGCTCGGCGAAATAACCAGGGGGAAAGGAGCTTGTCGCAATAATCAGATGGACAGGTAGTTGGGCGAGAAAACGACTCCGTTAAGAACCTGGGAGTTAAACGCTTTCTAGTCACCATTTGAACAGCCCCAAATTGTGACTGTTTGATAACAGCAATGATAGCCAAGGAGTTGGCCGAGGAGTTGGGATTGAAAATGGCCGAGAGATCCACGAGAATTAAACTAAGGTGGAGGGGGAGCGAGAGACCAAGGCAGGGAACAGAGGGAGAAAGAGAGAGAGAGAGAGAGAGAGAGAGAGAGAGAGAGAGAGAGAGAGAGAGAGAGAGAGAGAGAGAGAGAGAGAGAGAGAAAGTGAGGGAGAGAAAGAGAGAGAGAGAGAGAGAGAGAGAGAGAGAGAGAGAGAGAGAGAGAGAGAGAGTAGGGGAGGGAGCAGCGAAAGAGAAGTGTTGCCAACTGCCACCACTGCGTATCAGGTTCCCAGGACCATAATTTCTGGGTCCAGGTTGTGGGCTGTGGATGGGCGGGGCTGCCTGCGTGGCAGATTCAAAACTAGTCGAAAACCAGAATTTCTGGGAAGGGTTGTGGGCTATGGATGGGCGGGGCTGCCTGCGTAGCAAAATCGACACTAGGCAGATTTCGAGGGTTTGGAGAGTTTTTTTTTTTTTTTTTTGGGGTGTTTTCAAGGGCACTCTGACTGGTGAGGGTGAAATGCCGAGCACCCTGACTACATTAGGGGAATTAATTCCCTACACTTCTTTTAAAAGGGCCGGAAACATTTCGCCCTTACAAAATCAGGGTATCGTAATCACCAGGACATAGGCGCATATGTGCTTATAGGGATTAGGCTCAAAAACCAGCATGCGCTTGTAATCAAATAAAAAATATAAGCATAGTACAAATGACTAGATGGAAAATTAATTTGAACACACCAAAATATACCTGGGTGGATTTGGATTGCAATACAACTGTTCTCAAAAGGGGAAGCGCAGAATTATCGCGCAGAATATCTGGCGAAAGTTTTGCCAACACAACTATGCTGGGAAGGCAGGATATGGACAAAACATAGGCAAGACACTGATCGGGAAATGCTGGAATTTGGCTGGCGAGGTGCTTCGGAGGGGTGCGAGAGTGCTGCGGGTGGCTTGGCACAGAGTTTCGATATGGAAATTTTGCAATTCGCCTATCTTTTAATAGTTATTCAATGTGCTTATAGGGAATGGATTTACTAAAAAAAGGTGCTCTTATAATAAAATAACGGATATAAGCGCATTTGCACTGTATAAGCCCCCTGGGCTTAATAAATGGTCGCGCCTATATCCGTGTGATTATGATATTCTTGAAAATGCGGCTGCTGGCAAGGGTAATCAGGGTGAAATACCCTTCAAATCCTTGCATTGGTCGGTAGAGCTTCATCTTATCATCAGACGGATTTTCAAGGCCAGTCTGAAAAATCATATGAATCTTTGACCACCGTCTGAAAAATCAGACGAAACCTAATCTTGCCCCCTGAATTCTCCTATTAGTATAACCCACATGTGAGATAATTAGTCAGTCTACAACAGCACATTGTTGCCCGCAGGCCCCAAATTAGTCTGGTGAAATGCCCTGATTGCCCTGATTTTTCAGTGTATTTTTCATTTGGTCTTAAAAATCAGACTTACAAAGTTTATTAACCTGATCCAATAAGTGATACAAAAATATTACCCTGATGAAAACAGGGTTGCAGAGCCCTGCACCCTGAGCCTTCAGGGTGTCCTGAAAACCACACTGGTAGCAAAACTCTAAGATTCTGGCTAAGGGTGCATTCCAGCCCCCAAATTGGTTTTGGGCCTGTCTGATTCGTCAGAGTCACCTGCCTTCCCTTGGTATGGGTGTTAGACTCACCTCCTGGAAAAAGTCTGAAAAATCAGAGTAGCCATGGATTTTTTTTTTCTGTCCAATCAAAGTCATAGCCAATTTTTTGTAGAGCCTTTTTTATGGTTCTTCATTAGAGAATGAACTAAATTTCTCTACATCCACAGAATCAATCGATATCCTGCATATCCTGCTGAGGTGCTGCTGGCATATCATCATCTACTTTCTCCTTTCCCTTCCTGCTGCTACTGGCCTCGGGCAGGGTGTTGCTACGGGGCTTCCTCTTCTTATAAGCCCGCCAGATGGAGACCACCTCTTCCCAGTCGGGGTCATACTCTAGCTGCAACATGCACATCAGATCTCCTAGCCTAGTATCCTTGAGAGCCCACCGTAGCCAACTCTTGATGACGTTATGGCGGGAGAACCCGCGCTCGCACTCGACAGTGCTCAACGGAAGGACAGCCACCGCCACCCACAGGTTGACCAGGTTGGGGTAGCTGTCCCTCCAGTCCTGCGTCGTGAGCATGGAATGTCTTGTCTGCCTTGGGAAGCGCACGAAGTTGCGGAGTTCGCTCTGGGCTTCGCGCTTGTCTATACCTGCTCAGCCCCGCGTGGAATGTCTTGTCTGCCTTGGGAAGCGCAGCAAGGACGGAACGAAGTTGCGGAGTTCGCTCTGGGCTTCGCACTTTATACCTGCTCAGACAAGGGCACACAAGGAGAGGGAGAAGGGTTGGGTTATCGGAAACAGTGCACATTTTGTTGAATAGATACATTGCCGAAGGGATACTGGAAGCAGTAGACGGTAATTCACCTGGAAGAATCTCGTCCCTGTTTTCAGCGTGGTACATGACCACACGCGAGTTGAACCACTCGAGGTACTGCGTCCTCCATGCCTGTTGGTCCCAGTTGGGCGGCCATGTGTCGACGCTGAATAGGCGTGCTCCTGACAACTGCCGCAGATCGTCTATGCACTCATCGAGGTTGCGGACCAAGCCCTCCGTCAGAGCCATGCACGCCACGACACTCCCACCGTGGTCGCTGGGCCCCGGGTAGTCCTCTTGGGGCACTTCGTGCAGCTCGAAGGTGAACCATGAAGGTCGGCCGTTGGAGTCGATCCCCTCCACTGTCACTAGCTTGGACTTGCCGGGCCCGTGCTTGGTGAGGAACCGCGCCAACCGCGTTGGGCCCCCAGGTGAAGTCGTCTCCGCAGTCCACGTAGCGGCTCTCGAGCAGTGAGGTCATGCTGATGATGTGCACGTGTAGTCCAACTGGTGGGTAGGTGGGCGAGGAGAGGTAGGGCATCACAGTCGGATGTGTGGTTAAGAGACGACCGGCAGAGACAAGCAACGACATCGACAGGCATGCAAACACAAGCATTAAACAAGTTTACCTCCCGCTGCTGGAAGACCTTGTTGAGGACGTTTAGCAGCTCCAGCACATTGGCGAGGAACATCAGGAGGAGCCAGAAGTGGTAACTGGTGACGAGCGCATACAGCTTGGCGTCGTACTCTTGCAGCATGACCACGATGGCCGATAGGACCTCGACCAGGCGGATGACCGCATCCCCGCGCGACAGCCAGCGGATGTTGTGGATGCCTTGGAGCTCAAGGTTCGTCGACGTGAACTCATCCTGGACCTCCAGGAACCGTTGATGCCAAGGGTTGGAGCGACCGAGCAGTTCCGCGATCTCGCAAATGACATTGTCCACCATGCTAAAGACAGGGATCTCCTCGGCAACCGCCTTTGCCGCCAGTGCCTCTCTGCGTGGGATAGGGAGATGAGATGCAAAATAGGAAGCAAATTAGGGATTGGCATTATAAACAAACCAAAAAGCAAGTATACATAACATGCACACAGCAAACGGATGAAGTACCGATGGGCAATGCAATGGCAAGAGACAAGGTGCGGAACGCGAAGATGAAGGCGGGCCACAAGTCCAGAGCGCGATCCCATCATGATGGCAGTGCTGTCAGTGCTTATGCCAGAGATGCGGCCAAGGTCGAAGCCAATCGACTCCAGATGGGACAGCATGAGGGCGAGAAGCGATGCCGCATCCGCTTTATCCACTGTCAGCAGAGCCAGGTACTCGGTTACAAGCCAGCCTTCCCGGATGAACGTGGCTAACATGATCATGTGCTTACCACAGCAGCGATCAGTGCTTTCATCGAGGCGCAGGCCAATGTAGGGACTGGCCAGCAGGTGTTGGCATTGGTTTGGTCATGGAGGTGGCCGTATGCCTCCACATCGACATGCCAGGATCCGCCTGAGCCTGTGCCGAGCCCCTCTGTACCTGTGGATACGCCAGAATTGTCTGGCAGCAGGTCCACTGCTAGAACGAACAAGGACATCTATGCTGAGGCACAAGAGCGTTTCAAATCTCATTGGTCTGACAGATTCCCTTGGCTCATGCTCTTGAAAACTGACGATGGGCTCCCGACCTTCAAGAACAGTGTATGCGCAGTGCATGCAGGACCTGCAGGGTGTACCGGCACATTGGGCAAGGGAGCTACCGACGTGCAGACCCAGTCGTTCAAGAAGCACGCCGGGACGCAGAAGCATCGCCTCGCCATATCCAAGCAGGATGATCTCCTGCAACTGGCATCGAAGCAGCAGCGGATCGACATGCATCCCCGTGCAGCCAACGAAGAGAAGGAGGGAGTCATCGCACTGCTTGACTCCCTCTACTACTGCGCCAAGTGTAACGAACCCATGGAAACATGGATTCGTTTGGTGCGCTACCTCTCATCGCGCGGTTTCAAGGGATTCCCGAAGTCCGCCTACGCCCCATACTATAACTGGTGAGAATTCCAGTGACTATGAACTTCTCAATGTCTCATCTTTACATATGAAACTTACAACGAGTTGGCTTGTGCGTGTTGTATAACAGGTACGGCTTCGGCGAGCTGACACAAGCGACGGCAACGTGAAAATTTTCCGTGCATGTCACGATGCTTGACAGATTGAGGAGTAATTATCATCAAATCTAGCAAGTATTCGCTCAGTAGCGACCCTACGGCACATGCATTGGAGACGATTCTACCAGAAGCCGAAGTGTTTCAAGTATCACCGTAACTTCGACGATGCAGGAGAACGCCAAGCCGCACGATGATGTCAATGAATGAGGGATATGCAGACCAGTACAACATGATCACGCGCTTTACCGACCGTACATCGGAGGCACGGATGAGCATACCTGTAATTGCTACCCATGGATACATTGATGGGAGAAGCAAATTTCTCTTCATACCCTCAAATGAAACCATCACTGGCAGCAATGGAGCAACACATGTGTACCAATGTGCACGTATTCCTGGTAGTTACGCCTATTACACCCATCAAGAAGACTCTACATGGGAGAGGGAGTGGCTGGATTCTACTTCACACATTACGAGTTGCGATAATTCTCTGTAGCAGCTGACGCCGTCGCCATCGTCGCAACCGCCGCCGCCGCCGCAGTAGAAGACTCAAAGCATTAGTGATTGTGAGACCCTTATGGATGATTCTCCGCTCAATGGAGATAACGCTGGGTTATATTCCAGTATGATCGTAAAGTCCTGGCCAGACACCACTATATATTGGAATCGCTATGCCAATGTCGTACACCTTCAAGAGCAGGAGATATTTGCTCTTATGAGGATGGGAGGACTTCGATATTCTATTG